TGATGCGGCATAATATATTCCGTGTGTACAACATTTTTTTGTGCTCCACTTCCAATCTATATAAGTAAGTAAATTTGTACATGTAATACAATACTGTGCACGATCAATGTTTATATAACGTAGTATTGTAAATGTAACGAATTGAAAACCGTATAAAACAATACCGATATTTGTGACCTGCAACGGGAACTAGTTTGCATTTCTGAATTACACCGAGTACGGTTTTATGTTTTAAAACACATAATTGGATAAAAAAAAAGAGATAGGGTGAAAAGTGTGTGATTTTTTTTTGTGTGTGTGTGTGTGTGTATGTATCTCTAAGTAGTTCAGTTATGTTGTTCTTTCCACCCTTAACCTTTGAATTATTTTAATAACTTGGATATTTGTATTCTACCGAATATAAGTGTAATGTCGTTAACATTGTCCCACTTAAATTATTTTTTAAATTCATCTCGATGCGATCATAATATAATTTCATAATTGTCTATAAGACCCAATTGATAAACTTACGGCTTAAGTATAGTAAGAAAAATACTACACACAGGCCTATTATGTTCTACAATTCGACCAGATAGCAAAAACGTATATCAATTTGGAATTGGATAGTACATATTATGATTCAATAATAAAAAAGTTACTAAAAAAAAATAATCTTCATTTTTGCACATGAGCAATTACATTGACATTTTCTGTTGATTTGGATAAACTAAATATGTCGCAGTATCTCTTTTGTGCAGAAATCCTGTGCACATTCACCTGACACAATTTATTATGATTTATCTTTAGACATCTTTAGAAGTAAGTTACATAACAGTATACGTATACAATGCATTTAACTTATATTTCTGTAGATGACTCGTATTTGTTATTATTAATTTTTTTTTTTTTTTTCTGAAAAAATAATTTTACAATGACACATTTAAAATGTTCTTTAAGAGTTCTTATTGTTTTTATTTTATCCAGGATAGCAGCTGAAGCAGATGCCACTGTTATTGAATCACTATGTCTCTTACAAATTGTTTGAAAAGAAAACTCAAAGGTTTCATGAAGATCGTAAAATCGTATGTATAATACACATTGGTTATATTGCAATACTTACCAAATTATTTTTAGGTGTTATGACTATTTATTGATTATTTTAATTTAATTTTCAGCTACATTTTACAAATTATTGAAAAAATCTTCACATTTCTTTTACTGTTCCGAACTGTTTTTCAATTAAATGAAGATAATACTATGAAACTGTTTAGCATTCCAATCATTGAGTGGAATTACATGAGACTGAAATTAATGGTTATGATTGACGTTTTGAAGTGTTATGAATATCATTAATACATAGCAATGACAATCATTTAAATTTCAGGTAAATAATATTAAAAGAAATATTAATTTTAATGGTTTTTATTTTTATTATTATTATTCAAAGTATAGCTTTAGCAACAAGCGTCCAGTATCCATATGGTTCATGTAGATGTTACATAATTATTAAATATAATATAATATACATTATAATAAATTATAAATATTAATATACAAATCAATACATTTTCTTGAAGTAGTCTTTGTTAGAACCGAGAGCTTTATAGAGATTATCTGGAATTTCATATCTTATTTTTGATTTTATATAAGATCGATAGTGGATGAAAAATGTTTGACATAGAACATTTCACCACCTATTTAGCATTAGATTTTAAGTTTTATATATAATTAACGGCTATACTTTATTATTATTATTTTATTTCTTTTTTTTTTATTAGTTTCTTGTGATTAGATTTATAGATCAACAAAATGGCTGTACTTATTAAGGGCACAAACTTTGAAATCCTTTTTTTTTTTTTTTTTTTGTTACTTATACTTCGAATATTTTTAAGAAATTTACAGTCACATTTACTTACTATCAATCCATGATTTCCTATTAATAAATAGATATTTCTATGCGTGTTCACTATTAAAGTTCTTAATGTGTTATAGAATCGTTTCTTGATATTATAAATATGCTTAAGATGTGAAAAAAAAATGTGTTTAACGCTCACACACTTAAAACTTTAACTTGTACCAATTACCACCGCAGATTTATAACTCTAATTTCCCTCAGATTTTAATGTTACGTAAATATTTTGCTGCGTTGATATTATATTTGTGATATTTGTTACAAACTATAAGTCTTAACATACTTAATGATAAGTATACACAAGCACACATCATAAAACAAATATTTAATTGTGTATGGTTTATGTATAAATATTGGTGTGTTCGATATAGTACGTAAGAGAAGTTGTTGGCTTTCAGATAAGAGACATAAAAAACTATATTTAAAATCAGCTAATTATCATCAGAGATTATCATAATTATCCACCAAAGACAATGTAATTGCTATATATATATATATATGTTATAAAATACATGAGTTATTAATATTCATCCCGAAAGTATAAACAGGTTAATGTGTAGGTATTTTATCTAAAATTGTGAAATCGCAATTTTTTAACATATCTCAGTTATACACTTCAATATCGAAATTGTTTGTATTATAATATCGTTAATGTATACTTATTATATAATATATAATTTTTTTTCAAAAATTCAATATTATATATTAATGCATATACATTATACATGGCTTCATATAATTCGAAATTAATTAAAATATTCCATTAATACAAGATAGTAATATTATATTCTAATAAATATTTGAAATATTATGTTCCGTACATTTTATGATATTGAATTTCTACGTAAACTTAATAAAAAAATATATGTAATGTACTTAAAATCTTAGAAAATGGCAAAAAATTGAATTTCCTTATATAGTAGTTTCGTTGTTTTTCTAATACGAAAAAGCCACACGCTCAAGTATTGATGTTTCTGCTGCCGTTATAAAATGCATTTAACAATAATTAGCTTAATATGTGGTTTGACAACGAACGACCTTTATGCAAACTGCATGGTAAATAATTAATGTACAAAGTAATTCATTTTTCTTAAAAAAATGCAGTTCACATACATATTATATTTTGATGCAAAACAATTCAAATTTTACATTTTTAAAAATCCTCGCGACTTAAATAACTCATAAATTTCTCTAATTCTAAAATGGTTCAGTCGATTCGTGTTACTTACGTGTTTGTTATCGATATTTGATCATATAAGCGTTGCGTTGTTCATTATTGTATATTATCACTGTAATACAGCGATCGGAAAATCAAATAATTTCAATTGCTTTCGTATCGTATTCAACTGTGTGATGCCACTACGATAGGCTTACACACGTTTATGCGTATGATTTGATCACGTCATTTCGACAGTAAATAGAAAAAAAAAACTGATCGTGTTCGCGACTTAAATCTCAGCGTACCGTTTCATTACTATTATTGATATCGTACGAATTACCGAACGCTCGAGCTTACGGAATCATAAATGAAAAATACGACTCCTTTTCGTATAGATCGGCTGGGGTGCAAGAGAAAGCACTTTGCCTGATAAACGTAGATACGTCGCTCGAGGATTCCGTTTCGTACGTATTATAAAATATATTATATACGTTGATCCATCTGCTCTAATCTCTCTGCAGTGTAACAATGTTCTACCTCATTCTTCTCGTCACTGCCCGTGTTTCCATGTCCCGTACGACACCTACGCCAACCATTTTGACGAGACGATTAATAGTTGCGTTCCGCGGTAAGAATCCCTTCCGGATTGCGCCCCGAGTATTTTTCGAATAAGGAACGATCACATTGTACGGTGGAAGGGGGGCGGGGGGTTCCGAGATGTACGTCAAATACAAATCGGATTGCAACCGGTTCATACCCGAAAAGAATTCGAGTTTCAATTCGAATCGGACTTCTTTTTGGTAGATATTTTCGGAAATGCAACTAGTTCTGAGCCACGGATGCCTTTAAGACGTTAACTTTGATCACCAACGCGGATCGTGATCTTAACGTTTTGAAAACAATTTAATGATACCATAATTTCTACGTATATTTAAAAGGTTCGCTATCGCAGTGTATCGTGTAAAAGAGCGTTTTCCGTGTTCAGTTACGCGTTTGTGTTAGCCGTTGTTCAGACGGTTTACCGATTGGGTATCATACGTCAGCGAAAGGCTGTATGCGTAAAGAAAAACAAGGTAAAACAGTTGGACGTTCTTGACCGATTTTGGTCACGAACGTGGCCACAGAGCACGGTGATGGTACCTTAAACTACTGCCACGTTCTTACGATTATCATCATCTGCTGTTATTATCTTGTGTACCGCGTTCAAAAGGGTTGTATAAATAAATAATAATGTTACGGTAGTGTCACGGCTCCCGTATCCCTCTCGGCGGATCCGCTGTCGAACCGAGTACCCGGCACGTCAGAGTTCCTCCCCGGCGTGTGCGTTTCGCCCCATACCGTATTCCATATTTATTTCGAATACATTTATCGGTACGCGCCGAGTCTTACGTCTCCCCTAGAAACGGTCCTCTCTCTCTAAAGTACCGTAGAAAACCAAAGATTTGCATGCCACAGAGCCACACGCTATAATTTTACTCGTATCAATAAGTTTTATATATATATATATATATATATATCTTAATATTATCTATCGTATTTTTTAAAAAAAAAATACCGAAAAACGAATATTTTTTTTTTCTACGGCCACGGGCCATCGGACGACGATGCAGACCGTTTTTATTAATACGTATAGCACTACAGCGATATTCATTCGTAACAATAATAACATCAACGTTCTACTGGTGCCGTAAAATCCCTCCTCGACAACGATGTTACCGATAGCAATAATAGTTCTAAATTATTTATTTCAACCACGGTTGGTCCAGCGCGTAATCATTTAAGACGGAACGTCCCCGTGACGACGATACGCCGTCGCGCGTCGTCCACCGAAACGGGTCAACACGGTGATCTGTGTGTAACATAAATGAAAAATATTGTTTCCGTCGACCGTTTACCATGTTATCCGTTACGTTACGGTACGCATCAGAATTATCAAAACGTGTGACTTACTGCGATGGAATGAAATCGAAACGAAAGCAACCGGCGGTCAGCAACACGAACGACGTCGGACGCGAGCGTTCTGTTGTTTCTCTCTCTCTCTCTCTCTCTCTCTCTCTCTCTCTCTAACGATACGTGGACCGGAAACGTGTAGCCAAACGTAAAACCAAAAAAAAAAAAAAAAACTCGAAAAAAAAAAAATGTATTTATTTAAATTGTTTCTAACGAACAATCACTGTCAACAGAAACGAAAACGCGAATCGTCGGACCGCGACGGTATCCGCGTCACTGTTGCCGTCAACGGTTAGCGCAACAATCGCTGCGGTACCGGAACACCCGAACGCGCGGTTTTCGCGACCGTTGCTGCGTACACCGGTATCCGAACGCAACTGAGCGCCGACGGTGTGCCCTGGGTCCGCGGCACTTCGTCCGATGGGCTTCCGCGCCATCTGTTGAAAACGCGCGCAGGGTCTCCATTCGTGCGCGCGTTTCGACCGGATATACGTGTGTATATTTCCGTTCGGTTGCCCGCGAGAACTTTCGCCGTACGTTTCTTTGCGCCCCCCCCCCCCCCCCCCCCCCACACCCCCACCCCCACCCACACACACCCACACACACACACACACACACACACACACACACACACACACACACACACACACACACCACAAATTTATTTATTTCTTCTTCCCGCGTCACCCGTTTTTTTAAGCGCGAACACCTGTGTTATTGTTATCGCCACGTTTCCGCCCCCGCGTTGCTCGACGACGAACGGAACACGGGGTGCGCGGGGCCGTGTTGAAAGTGTTGAACGCACAATGCCGGTCGGACGAAAAGAACGTACACCTGAGCCGACGGGGGAGCGTATTTCGGTCTCGCAGTGGCCGATCGCTCGCGATAAATCCGTTCGCCCGCGCACACGTACAACGCACGTGGCCGCGACGTGTTTCACGTCGTGCCCGGAAACGAACTTGCCGAGACGACGAGCGCGGACGGACGGCGTTTCGAACGGAACGTCGATCGGACTGCAACGCTAATATACTTGCGCGCACAAATGTTTAAGCGTCAGCGGTTTTCGCGGTAACGAAGGCTTTCAGATCGACGCCGCGCGCGCCCCGCACCGTAAAACGGAGCCCTTGACCGCGCTCCGACCGATCGCCCCGCCCGCGGTGGCGCTCCGTACGGTTGACGGCCGTCGGGCGAGGGCAACGGGTGGATTTAAATTAATAAAACTGTATCGTCGCGAAATCCGGTATGCGCGTTTACAATCTCAGGTACTCGAGCACTAGTAATAATACGGTTTGATAATCGCGATAACCGGGTGGTACACCGCCGGAATGCCAACCGCAGCGAAACATATTCATATATTTATTTACCTTCATCCTTCGTAGGCAAACACCTCGCCAAAACTCTTTTTATAGGAGTGCAAGCGCGCTGCGTGAACACGGTTAGGGTCAGTAGCGCCTCCGGTAAAAGGCAAGTTTGCACCTCAACATTTTTACAATATTGGAGAATTGACCCTCCCTCAAAAAAAAAAAAAAAAAAAAAAAACTCATAAATAGCTACGGATAGCTTTTAAAATGGTTTACGTTTCTTTTAATTTTTTTTATTTTTTGGTTTTAGTCACCCAATTCGTTGGTTCAAGTTGCGCCTCTTCTGCGCTGCACATCGAATTATCAACTCTCTACAGTCAAAAACATTAAAATTAAAAATATAACACGCGAACAATTTTGAACAAGCTCTTGGTGCAACTGTGTCCCTGGCCCACGCCCTCTTGGTCTTGCCAAGGCCTTCCCACGGCCCTGTGCGTAACAGTAAAAATAAAATCTATAAATAATCGTTATACCATGACCGCGAATCAATACTACTCGTGATTTTCACGAGTAAAAAAAAAAAAAAGAGGTCTGCGAATAATTTGATTTTGTTTTTACTTAGAATCCGTTTCAAAGTGATGCTCAAACGGTCGCTTACGTCCGATACGCGTTATCCGGTTTTGTGACCTTTGCCGACCGATAACGGGTGTATTTTTCGGTCGATTCGACCGAAAGTTCGTTCGGTGTCGACGATTTCCCGAACGAAATCAAATCGTGTACGCAGTGATCGCAGTCAATTATAATCGGTGCGTACGGTCGCTTTTAAGCGGTTTCCGTCGGCTGTTGCTGAAATCGCATTTCCTCCCGGTCGCTCTACCGCCGCCACACGGAGTACCATTATTGCACGCAGTACGTGTGTCCGTTTTTCCGGAAACAATTTTTTATACAATACGCTCACGGTATGGGGTCGCGCATGATATACACCGGCCCGCATGTACGGATACGCGCACCGTCATATTGTCGTAATGACGATGGCGGAGTGTATTTTTAATTTTTTATATCTTTACGACCAAATAATTAAAAAAAATAAAAACTATGACACTGGAAATGTATACGCACCGCGGGTTTACATCGACACTTTGCTCCGCCAACGCAGCCGCTGCCATCGCGATGACTGCTTAAATTATTGCAATGGAAACCTTTTACGTTGACAATGAAAGGACGGGTCTAAAAGGGATCGTACAACACCGATAGTCATTGCAGCCGAAGAGTTCCAAAAAAAAAAAAAAAAATAAATAAATAAATAAAACTAGATTTTATTCGTATACGAAGATAATGTTACGTGTCGCGTGTAGTAGAACGCGCGTAAGTAAAACAAAATATGTATGAGCATACGAGTAAATGGTTTTGTGTTTATGTTTTACAATACGATATATGATGGAAACGAAACTCGTCTCTCTGAACCCGTTCGACAAAACTCGAAGGGGTTTTTCATTGCATTATTTCAACGGATGAAAATCGTGATTTCATTTATATACAGACATGTGCGACCAACAATCGTCCATGGATCGGAGCGTTATTTGATCAGCACATAAATTATAATATTTTATACGACATGGTGATGTATTAACATTATATTAATAATAATAAAACTGATGGGTCGTGTACACATGGTAAAAAACAATTTTAGCCAAGTGCGTGATTAATAATAAATTATGCATATGTGATATGTGGTAAAAATTAATAAAAAATATGTATAAGTTTTAAAATTAAATTCATTTTATTATATAATATATTACAATAATCTGTTACCCAAGTCTATACTTTGCTTGTAGAAAAATCATACTGTGTTTTTCTATAAATGTTCAGAATTTTTATTTTTTGTTTTTAATTATTTCAAACAGAACTATAAAATTTGATAAAGTATTTACTGCATTAAACACTAAACTTATGGATAGTTCTTCATCAAGAGTATCTTTTTCTTTATGATTGTCGTTATGTATAATATACATAGTATTATACTTTGAGGTGGATGTTAAGGAAATGACTTATTATTTATTTATTTTCTTATTTATCTAGTTTAATTCTAACCTAGATAAAAATCTACTGAATCAAATAATGCGATTTTTGTCTTGCATATTTTTGCATATTTCAATACATTTACGACATCTTTAAAAACAATTTAAAATACTGAAGTATTTAAAGCAACAATACAATTAATTTAACAATAACATCAATAGATGTAGAAATAAGTTTATGCTCCACAAAAATCTACTTTTGGACAACAGATACAGCTTGATGACATTAAAAAGACAATTGTATCATAGCGTACAACTATATATACCTTATTTAATTGTAAATAAATAAATTATTAAAGACATTTTGAATATTTGATACCTAAATGTGAAATATTTTTTTTGTGCATATTTTGATCATATGTTTTGCTAAAAATACATATTGTATAATTTTTATGGTTTATTTTGATTTCATATTTAGTATTTTTTTTTAGTAAATCAACCATAAAAATCCGAACCTTAGGTTCATAGATAAAATATTTTTCTAAGATACTAAAATTAACCGTCATGATATCCAAATAGTCTATAAATATATAAACAAATATTTTATATACAAAAATAAATAAATGAATAAAATACTATTGGAATTAAATAGTTTGAATTAAGATATTTTCGTGACATTAACAATTCGTGGTATTATTTGCTAAATGTATAATGTAATTCCCTGTTACACAATCGACTTGAAAATTACATTGATCCAACCTACCAATTTTTCTCAATGCATTTCTTACTTTATTTTTTCAAACACAATGTTATTGACTTTGTATACACCTGACAATATATTTTAAATCAATACCAGTGGAAATTTATAAATATTATAATATAGATATTATAATAACTGATGAAGATAAGCACATAAAACATAGGAGTTTTTTCGGACCTTCAATTTAAGGCTATTAAGACTGGTTTGTCACTATAAATGGTTTCTACAGCGTATTCATTGACTGTGGGAATTCGGATGGTGCGTGCGGGACTTCATCATGGTAACTGTGGATAATGCCGGTGGTTATCAACTCAAACTCACGGATAAATTGATGTTGGAAGCCTGTTAAATAATAACAACATAATCAAGTAAGGTGACTTTTGTTCTAAAGAATTTTTTATCCGTTTTTTCCGTGAAGACATTTTCATCCGCATTGTAAAAAAAAATGTCCAAGTTATTTGTCAAAAAGTCCTACATAGGATAAATTGCTCCAATAAATTTTTCCTCTTTGTTACCATTATATTTTTAAGACCCGTTTTTTTTCACTCTTATTTACTATCGAATGTGAATGAAATTTTTCTTTTAATATTCTACATAATTTTTCTTATATATTATATTTCTGTAAATTGTGTTAATCAATATAATATAAAAATATATCTTCTTCGCATTATTCCATTCATAGGGATATGGTTATCATTGCACCTTATTTTTAATGCAACATGTAACCTTTAAGCCTTTTTAAAAGGTCTACATGTCCTCATCAGACTTTTAATAAAAATCAAAAAATCTTGAAAAATATTTTTTTTTACAAATGCACCAAAATATTCCCAAGGATCATCATTTTCTTCAATAATAATTTGATCCTTTTGCAAATGTTTTAATATTTCTAAAATTATTTTATAAAACAAAATTTAAAATGCCCTTATGAAAAATATGAAACAAAGAGTCTCCAATAATCAATAGTTTTTCAATAGTTTGATATTTTCGGTGATATTTTGCCCACTCAGAAAATTTATTTTTGTTAAAAAACGAATCATATTATTTTCAAAACAAATCGTGCCTATATGTTCAAAATGTCTTCACACAGATCGATATGATCCCCGGTCAATATTTTCCGCTATCTATATTGATGTTTCAGTAATGTAATAAAGGATAACTAACCAGTGGGAATGAAATCCCTGAATACAAATAAAATTAATTTGACCGTGGTTTTTGTGACATGCAAAATCCCAAACTATATCAAATCTTTAAAACCGTTCAAAATTTCTAGAGTTTGTTGGCAGTTA